ATATAGAAGACTTGAAGAACACTGTCAACCAATTTGACCTTTCATTTATAGAATAATATTCCCCCAAATAGCAGAATATACATTCTTTTCAAACACACAAAGGATCATTTACTGAGATGCACCATAATTTTGGCCCATAAAACATTTAAGATGATTGAAAATACAGAGCAAGTTTTCTAACAATAAAATTAGAAATTAGCAACCACAATATAACTGAAAAATCTCCAAATGTTTGGAAATTAATACATTTCCAGAAAAGTCATAGAACAAAATTAAATTACAACAGAAATCTACAACTATTTTGAACTAAATGTTAATAAAAACATGACATATCAAAATTTGTGGCTAACACAGGGCTTAGAAGGTCTAAAATCAATACAAAACTTCTACCTTAAAAAGCTAGAAGAAAATCAAATTAAACCCAAAGTAGGAGAGAAATAAAGATAATTGCAGAAATCAATGGAATAGAAAATGAGCAAGCAATAAAAAAATCAGTGAAACCAAAGTAGTTTTTCCTTTAAATGATCAATAAAAGTATTCCTAGCTAAAGCAATGATCAAAAGAAATGTTACCAATATTAAGAACAAAAGAGGACATATGACTATAGCTCTTGTAGCCATTAAAAGGATATCAAGGGAATATTGTCAATAACTTTATGCCAATAAATTCAACATTTAGATGAAATGGACAAATTCCTTGAAAGGCACAAATTACCAAAACTGAAACAAGAAGAAATAGAAAATATGAATATTAAAAAAATTAAATTCATATTTCAAAATTTTCCCACAAAGAGCACTCCAGCCCCAGATAACTTCACTGATGAGTAATACCAAACATTTAGGGATAAGACTATACCAGTCTCATACGGATATTGGGCTAGTCAAAAACGGAAGTCTGTCATAGGAAGTAGCAAACTGCCAGTACTGTAAATATGCAGTTTCTAGCCTTCCTCCACTGGGAAGGAAGTTAAAATTTCACTTCCACATCCAGACTATGGATCCTCTTCACTATTGGCCTGAACTTTCATTATTATCCTCCCTCCCAACTGCAGTTGACCATGTGTCAGCTCTGGGTCAGATTAATATCAGGTTCATCTTCCAGACTTATTTTAGACACACCCAGCAGGGTCACTCCAGGAGATAGAGGGCATTTTCCAAACATTCAATGCCTACAACTCAATTGCATTCTGGGTATACAATTCATATTTTTTTCCTATTGATTGTATAACTGGAGCTTCATAATTTCCTTTAACCATTCTATGGTCCTTAAGATCAGGGTTACTGTTACACTTGTCACAAAGTAATCCTAAAAACGAGATTTAAAAAATATACCTGGTTGATTTGAGAAATGATCCCAGAGAGAAACTGCTAAAAATACACATCTATACATTAAATTCTCTTTGTAATGATCTCTATAGGATATTAGTTTATTTTATATTAAATTGGGAGTTTTAGCAAAAACACTGTAAGAAATGGTATTCCCAGTGTTAATGAAATAAAATAAAACTAATTCTAATTGGTCTAGTGTGGTATTCTCATATTCTAATACATTTAGCCTACAGAACTGTTTTGGGAACAGTGGAAAAGCAGCTGAATCTTTAAAACAGATAACAGCAGAGTTTCTCTGGCTGGAGAGTATGGAGCCCGTTTACCTGCTGTCCATCTCTCCCAACATATTCACATGACCCCCCAAGACACGTCCTCAAAATCTCTAGGGTTCTCTGGAACACCATTTATAAACCATTTTTCTGCCTAATCAATAAAGATCCTTGGTAGTGTTAACTCTACAAAGTCATATAAATCAGCACTAGAGGAAAATTTAACTTACCAATCGGGCTATAGACACCCTGAATGTTGGACATGCCATATGGAACCGGGGAATGGCAACATTGAAGATCTTGTCTTTAAAGTAAAGAAAATGGAAGGTATGATACCCTTCCATATATCCTGATGTTGTAGAGAATGTGGTACAGCTTGTGTATTCATATACTCGACCTGGGCTGATGATCGGAAATTCACCTGCAGGAAAAATAGTAACAATGAACCAAAGTGTAAAATTCAGTTCTTCGTTACAGTAAATAAGGCATGTTCTCTATGGGATTATGTAAACTATGTAAAAGTAAATGCACAGTTTTAAAAAAATCTAAAAGGAAATACAACAAAATGTTAACAGTGATGGCATTATGAGCAGGTATTTTATTCCTGGTAATTTTTTCTGTATTCCCCAAATTCTCTACAGTGTAGAAGATGGGAAATATCTAGTAAAACAAAACAAAACAGACACGTGTTCTTTTTCAATGTGCTTTGAGGCACTGAAGACATAACCTTTAGGACAAGAGTAATAAAAAGAATCACAGACACTAGTTCAAAGAGAGATAAAGGTAATCGAAGTATTTTAAAAGTAGCAAGAATAGCTGGGCGTGGGCACGTGCCTGTAATCCCAGTTACTCAGGAGGCTCAGGTGGGAGGATCGCTTGAGTCCAGGAGTTCAAGACCAGCCTGGGCAACATAGTGAGATCCCTATCTCCAAAAAAAAAAAAAAAAAGTAGCGAGAAACTAAAATGTAAAATTGTGAAGATGCACCCTAAGCATTCAGATCAGACAAAACAGCAATCCAAAGAAGACTCCTTATACCATTATACCAAGGGAGCAAATGACAGAAAAAGAATAATGGCTTTAATAAAATTCGTTAGTACTAAATCCTCAAGTCTAGGAAATATTCATTATGTAAACATGTAGAACATGAATCTATTCATGGTAATGAATTTAGAAAACCTTAAACCAAAAGGTGTTGCTGTTATCAGTCTTCTGCATATGCTTAGAACTGATAACAGAAGCATACAGCTTAAGTATTTTCCTGGAACACATAGTCCCACTTGAAGAATCTGAGGGCTCAGAAACTTAAGATAGTCATAATTTTTGAAAAAGCTAAATGACAATGGTAACCATAATTAAACTGAATGAAATCCACAAACAATAAAAATCTCTGCCATTAACTTTTTTTAAAGCAAAGTTGATGATTTATTCATTACAACAATAGTAGCTAAGTTTCACTGAACTCTTTTGGGTACTTTATATAAATTATTTCATTAAATTCCCACAGAAATTCTTTAGCTGATATTGTAATTATTTATATTTTGAAGATGAGGTTCAGAGAAATGAAGTAATTTCTCAGGAGCATAAACTGATAATAAGAGTTTTCCTTATTTATTTATGCCTAGTTCCAGCTTAATATCTTAACCATAAATCTGTTTTTCAATTAACAAATATTTTAGGCAATAATAATCCTGACTTTTTCTTACTAAATTATAACACCCTTAATTATTTCATTCATTTATCCAATAGATATTAATTGAGCAGTTACAATGTGCTGTGCCATTAATTTTAACATTTCCCCTCAAACTTCAAAAAAGATGTCAAGAAATTTATTTTCTCTTTCTGCCTCATGCTATCTAACCCACAGAATATGATAATGAATAATGAACCAGTTAAAAAAAATAAAGAACACAAGTAGGAAAAGCAAAGAAGCCCAGGTGATTCACAGACAGGGAAATGAATCCCTGAATAATTGAGTTTGCTATAATTTTTAGAAAAGCTAAGTTTAAGGGACTAAACTGATAGTATAACAACCTTTCCACATTATAGTTATGACGTGAAGTATAAATTTCTTCTAAACAATTACGCTATGGAGCTAAATCTTGGGTTACATACCAACTACTCCAGGTCCTTGAACTTCTTCTACATCACCTTTAGCATTTGTTATTCTCCAATAGCGACTGTCCAACTGACATGCCTTCTCAGGAAGTGCATCCTTTGACATTTCAATCCTGAACAACAGAGCAGGGTGATAGATACTCAAATCTGGCCTTTTTGTGTTGTTTTCTTTTATTAAAGAGATATATTCAGGCTAATACTATGAAAGGAAATTTCCAAAGGAAATTAAATCCAACCCAAAGTCTACATTAGCTTTCTCTTTTTCTAAGTTCTCAAAGATACTGGCTTAATTAGCTTGATTCCCCCACAGAAATACTTTCACTCAACTTATGCATTTGATTTTCTGGGAAGATCAACAACAGAAAGGGCAACATAAAAATATGCAAACACAATGGAGACGACAATCTTTTGCTGTTCAAATAAAGATCAATTTGGCAAATGCTTTCTAGAATATAGAGCTATGAAAAACTTCTAAGGAACTGACAGTCTTTCTTTCATTACATAGAGCTATACAACCCACTTCACTTTTTCCATTAGCTTCTAGAAAGCTTAAGGCAAAATGTCACCAGTTACTGGAATTATATTTTGATTCTTTTTTCTGACACTATCATTTCCTTTCTCTAGACATATTCTGTTTTTTATTTTCACGTTGAGTACTCCACAAGCATGGCATGTGCAGGTCTTTTTATTTTAAGCATGTGTCAATCCTAGGCAAGATCTAAATTAAACAACTAAAACAAGAAACATCCATATATGTGTAACCGGACATATGAAAGGCTGCATACAATAGCAAAATCCTAGGATGCTTCTTGTTAAGTATATATTACTAAAATACTTCCAGTATGTATATATTCATGTATATGTATTTAAATATATATACACACAGATATAAAAACACATTATAAAATACATAAAACATATTTTAAAACAAAGTATCCTTAATCCCTTAGAGCAATGAGTTGTCTTTATGTCATAGCACAGAATATTTCTAACTAAAGTGAATTTAAAATATTTGTTTCTTATTTAATGAAATCTAATGCCTAGCACCTGACATACATGAAGCACTCAATACATATTAATTAAATATAGATAGGCCGGATCAAATTTAAGATGCATGGTTTTATCTTTGGCAATTTGATAACTTCTAGAATGTATTACAACTTAGAGCTTTAATGATGATTACAACTTAGTGGTCCACTTCCCACAGTAGCTGGCACAATACTTTATACCCAAGCATATTTGTAAGACATAAATAACTTACAGGTTAATGTGAAGTCAAGGTGTCCTTTATGAACACTATATTGTATAAAATGTTTCCACCTTTCTCTAAACTTCAGCAAGAAGCTCTTTCAAAATTTGTTTTATATATAATGTCAAATGGGACAAGGGCAACACATCCATAGGCTATATCCCACTATTAACTGAAAGGTGACCCCATTTAAAATTCTCACCTGATTCGGTATGTGAAGAAATAGTGGGGTGGATGCACAGAGCTAAGTTCTGGCAGAAACGATGTGGAAACTGAAACAGTAATATCACCAGTTGTTGCTACACACTCTGGATCATGAATATATCTAGGTAATTTAAAAAATTAAACATTATAAATCAACTAACTTCAGATAAAAGATACAATGCAAAATAGCTTATACTTTAAGATAAAAAATTTAAATATTTCAGACGTCAAAATTTAGATAATATTTGGGTATAGTCCTATTAAATTCAGAAGAAAACTGGAGACAAACTAGAAAACCCTGGTGACTCTGGATCAGTAATGACAGCAATCAAAGTTCAATGATCAGTGGTTGAAAGAATGGATTGCTAATTAGTTTGGAAAGTAACAAGAGTTTATCTCAGTTTTCAGCGTTTAGGCAACTTTTGGGACATCTGAAAACCCAGCTATACCTGCTAAACGGTGGCTCTGACAATAAAAATGGGTATGTTGTTTCCAGAAGCCTCTAAGGTATAATTAATTTATCATTTCTGCCAACCAGACTACTGTGACCTAATATTACTTCTAATATCATCTACAATACCTGAATGTTCAGTTAGAGATAATAAATAATATTTGCAAGAAATTAATAGTTACTGACTTTGCTACTCATAATATATCTATTAATTGGCAAAAAGTTTTTTGGTTTTTTTCAAAAAGAGATTATATAGCTACTAGAAAGCCAAAGGTTCTAAATCAAAATCAGTTTTTCCTCTTGATTCCTCAAGATAAGAAAAATACCAGCTGTTTAAGTGTTTGGATATTTTGGCATTAAAGTGAGAATAAAATAGTGAGATTTAAGATAATGAGAGGTCCTGTTATTAACCTTCTTGGGAAACATCATTTCACGATCTGTGACCGATGGTTTTTTCCTGATTTATTATCATTTCAATCCAAAAAGCCCCAGATGAAATACCTGAAAATTTGGTCTCTGATGATAGGAAAGCCACCTGATACAACATTATTGACATAAGAGGTAAACCAGTCAGTAAAAGTAGCACCTGTAAACCAGGAAGGGGGGAAAACAAAAGAACAGTTTTTGTAAAATCTATATAGGAAAATCTATACAAAGAAACAAGAGTGATTTCTCAATGCTTAAGATGTGACAACAAAACTAGAAACATTTATAGACATAATTCTACTAGTCCTTTATCAGGTCGATTTCTATTCTCAATTCTATCAACTGTATTTTTTTGGGATTCTCCTCTGCTCCTTCTCCCTAACCACTATTAGGAAATCCTCCAACCTTCAAACTATTTTTTTACACTTATAATTAAATAATCGATTTTTATACCTTAATTTTTTCTGGTACAAGAAAAAAAAGCCTTTTATCTATAATTTATAGAACATACAGAATAAAAGAGCTACAGCTATGTTTATGAGAAAGAAACTACAAGAAAAATATCAGCACCTATTCTCAGACAATCAGGGTACATCCCTGCTTCAGGTACATCCTGACTTGAGCATAAACTTTTGGCAGAAGCCAGGCTCAGTATGGACATTTACCAGGGACATCCCATTGTGTAGTTCTGTTCTTCAGGCCACTCCCAAAGTGGTCAAGCTGCACACCACTATAGAGTCAATTACACAGTGGTCTTCTATATTCTCAGTGACCAGTTCAAAGCAGAAAAGAATTACTGGAACAGTCCAGTCCAGATCATACATCCATGATCTAGTGACTGAATCAGTAACAAGTACTTACATGAATTGTTTACCCCTCCTAGATAATATTTAACATAACTCTATCAGACTCCCACTATTTATTATTAATATATCTTAGTGCCTAGCACATATAGTCCTTTAATTAATGTTGCTCAATAAATTTCTTTGTAATCTGGTTTCAATTCAACCAGTTCTTGCATTCTGCCACACTGAATGCCAGATGCTAAATTTAAATTATTTGCTAATTATTCTTTTGAGAGAATGATAGAAGATAACAGTTTGGCTTGTATCTGAGAGTATAAAACTTTAAACTTTTAAAGGCATCAATGGAGAGAAGGTAAACTTTAATAGTTGGCTATTTTCTCAGTATATGTTAATGGCCCATTCTGACCCATTATTTATTAAATGCTATTGTATTCCAAGTTCATTGATACCTATCCATTTTGAATGAGATATTAAGGAGCTATAATAAACAGTATCATTAAAATTCACAGAAGGTACAATTTTATGTTTTTAGAACTAGTAATTTCTCTGAAGAGTTTAAGAAATCATTTTGTATATACTTCATGGAATAAAATGTTATGTAAGTAAAAATAAATTTCTTATGGTTTGCATAAAAAAGAAATTGGCATGGTGTATTTTTTATTAGTTTCAAGTCTTTTTATTTATTTTATTTTATTTCAGCATATTATGGGGGTACAAATGTTTAGGTTACATATATTGCCCTTCCCTGCCCTCCCCGAGTCAGAGCTTCAAGTGTGTCCATCCCCCAGACGGTGTGCATTGCACTCATTATGTATGTATATACCCATCCCCTCCTCCCCTCTCCCATCTGCCCGACGCCCGATATTATTCCCATATGTGCACTTAGGTGTTCATCAGTGAAACCAATTTGATGGTGAGTACGTGTGGTGCTTATTTTTCCACTCTTGGGATACTTCACATAGTAGAATGGGTTCCAGCTCTATCCAGGAGAATACAAGAGGTGCTATATCATCATTGTTTCTTATAGCTGAATAGTACTCCATGGTATACATATACCACATTTTATTAATCCACTCGTGTATTGATGGGCACTTGGGTTGTTTCCACATCTTTGCAATTGTG